ATTTTCTGACTCCAGCTTTTTGTACATGTCATCATAATACTTTATTTTGTCTTTCTGTGCTGTCCTTTGAAATCTTCTGTTAAGCTCCCTAATTTCTTGATTTCTTCCCTTTGCTTTGGCTTCTCAGTGCTCTATTGCAATATGCAGCGTCTCTTCTGACATCTGTCCTCGTCTTTTCTTCCTCCTCCGCCTTTGTAATGACCTTTTGCATTCTTTGTGGATGATATTCTTGGTATCCTTCCAAAGCTCATCTGGTCTTCGCTCATTAGTGTTCAAGGCCTCAAACCTATTCCTGAGATGGTTTTGAAATTCAAATGCTATAGACTCAAGGTCAAATTCTGGTTCCTGTGGGTCTGAGTTAATTTTTTTTTTTAGCTTCAGCTTGAACTTGCATATGAGTAGTTGGTGGTCTGTTCCACAATCAGCACCTGGCCTACTTTTCACAGTTGATAATGAGCTTCTCCAGCGATTCTTTCCACAGCTGTAATCGATCTGATTCCTATGCATACCATGAGATGAAATTCATGTGTATAGTCTGAGTTTACATTTCTTAGAAAAAGTATTTGCTGTGAATAAGTCATTGAATGTACAGAATTCTGTCATTCTATCTCTAGCTCAAGCTGCTCTGAAGGAATTGGCAAAAACCAAGGCCCCAGGAATTAATGGTATACTAACTGACACATTTCAACAAACAGACAATAACCTGGACGTGTTCACCAAGTTGTGCCAAGAAATCTGGAGAAGCACCACCTGGCCAACTGACTGGAAGAGATCCATATTTGTTCCCATTGACAATGTGGAAATTATCTAACAATATCATTACTATCACATGCAAACAAGATTTTGCTGAAAATTATCCAAAATTGACTGGAACAACACATTAGCAGAGAATTGCCAGATGTGCAGGCTGGGTTTAGAAGAGGCTGTGATACTTGGGATAGTATAGCTAATGTTAGATGGATCTTGACTGAAAGCAGAGAGTCCTAAAAGAATGTCTATCTGTGTTTCATTGACTTTGAAGGCACTTGACTGTGTGGATCACAGCACTGCGGCTGACTCTGAGAAGAACAGAAATTTGAACATTTGATTGTGCTTATGTGAAACCTATACTTGGACCAGGAAGCAGTCATCAGAACAGAGCAAGGAAACACTGTATCGTTCAAAATCGGGAAGGATATACTCCAGGGATGAGTCTTGTCTGCATGCCTTTTCAATTTATATGCAGAACAGATTATCTGGGGGTCAGGGCTCTGCAAGGAGGAACGTGACATTAGGATTGGAGGAAAACTCATCAACAAACTCTGTTATGCACAACCTTGCTTGCTGAAACTGAGTAGGACCTAAAGTGCTTGCTGCATGAGATCAAGGACTGTAGCCTTAAATATGGATTGAAACTCAACATCAAGAAGGCAAAAATTCTCACCACTGGGCCAACTGGCAGTAGTATCATAATCGACAGTGAAGAGACTGAGCTTGTTAACAACTTCAATTTCCTTGGCTCTGCAAACAACACTCTTAGTACCAGCAGCCAGGAAATCAAAAGATGAAGTGCATTGGGAAAATCTGCTGTCAGGGACCTCTCCAGAGTACTGAATAACAATGATATCAATCTGGAGACCAAGGAGCGCCTGATCCAGGCCATTGTCTTCCCAATTACGTGCTATGCATCAAAAATATGGACAGCGACTAGGGGTGAAAGAAGGAGAATTAATGCCTTGAGTTGTGGTGCTGGAGAAGAGTATTGAATATACCATGGACTGCTAGGAAAACAAACAGGTTTGTCCTAGAGAGGGTGAAATCAGGCTGCGCCTTGGAGGCAAGGATTCTGAAGATTTGTCATGTTTGGGCATGTTGCAAGGAGGAACCAGTCCTTGGAGAGGGACTCCAAAGAGTCCCTTATGCTTTGGAGGGTGGAGGGACAGTGCAAGTGAGGAAGACCCTCGATGAGATGGATTGACTCATCGACTAGGGAAATGTGAGTAGGTGTGTCAGAGACAATAAGGCTGGCTCAAGAGAAAGCAGGGTTCAGAGCAGTTGTACACAGGGTTGCTATGAGTCAGAAGTGACTCAAAGGCACATAAAACAACAACCACATTAATCCTACAGACCGAGGAATCACTAGTTTGAGCTCTGGTGGCCTAGTGGCAAGAAGCGCGCTGTAATCTCGAAGGCATGCAATTCGAGGCCACCAGCTGCTCTGTGGGAGAAGGATGGACAATCTCCTCTCTTGTGATTAACTGCCTCTGGAAACCTACTGGAGGGTCAGCTATGATGGTACACAACAATAACAACAACAGAGACTGAGAGCTCCTCCTGGGCAGAAATACTGTCTTCCTCATTTCTTTATCGTCTCTGCACTCTGGACAGTCCCAGGCAATTCAGGTGTGAAGCACTTTGCCTCTGTACCTGTCTCCATTCTCTGCCTTCCCCACCAATATCTGAGCTCATCAGTATATCCTCCATCGAGCCCAGAGGCTGGCATTTTTGTCAGCCCTCCGTGACTGTTGGTTGAATAAATGCATGAGCATGCTGGCATCTGGCAAATTCAAACAATTTCTATGTTGATTAGAAAGCTGGAAACTGTAACAACAAGGTTTGCAGGCTTTGGTGGGGATTAACAGACCAGAAATGTCGCAGAAGTCACCGTTTTAATCAGTGAAGCTGCCACAGCTGGGGTCCTGGGGATGAAGCTGGTTATGGGAATAAGCAACTTTACTGGAAGGTACTTGCTATTTGGGTGCAGCTGTCTTCCTGGAAAGAGCCCCGTGCTATAGTGGTTAAGGCACTCATCTGCTAATTGAACCCACCAGGCACTCATGGGAGAAATGTGGGACAATCCTAGTAAAGATTTCTCTCAAACCAAACTTCATTGTAACCTCATTGATTTCAACTCATAGAGACCCTGTAGGACAGAGTGGAATTCCTTCCCAGGTTTCCAAGGATGTGATATTTACAGAAGCAGACTGCCACATCTGTTTCCTGTGGAGTGGCTGATATGTTTGAACTGCTGACTTTTCGGTTAGCAGCCCAGAACTTTGACCACTGTTCCAGCTTTGGAAACCCTATGCGGAAGTTGTACCCTGTCCTATTGCATTACTGTAAATATAGACATAGTGTCTTAAAAGCCAAACATAGGTCTGGAGACTAAGGTGTGTCTGATACAGGCTATGGTCTTCGCAATCACTTGTTATGCATCAGAGAGTTGGACAATGACTAAGGAGGATAGAAGGAGAATCAATGCCTTTAAGCTGTGGTGCTGGAGAAGAGTATTGAGGGTACCATGGACTGCTAGGAAAACAAACAGATTCATCCTGGAAAGAGTTAAACTGGGCAGCTCCTTGGAGGCAAGGATTCTGAGGCTCTATCTAACATACTTTGGACATGTTGTAAGGAGTGACCAGTCCTTGGAGAGGCACATCATGCTTGGGAGGGTGAAGGGACAGTGCACAAGGGGAAGGACCTCTATGAGGTGCATTGATTCAGTGACTGGGGTAATCGGGATGGGAATGTCAGAGATAGTGTGACTGGCACAGGACAGAGCAGAGTTTAGGGCTGTTATACATAGGGTTGCTATGAGTCGCAAGCGACTCGACAGCACATAACAACAACATGTTTAAGTGTGGCGTGCATATACCCTCACGCCAGATTGTCTGGATCCCAGGTCTGTTATTTATCAGTGGTGTAACTTTGGACAAGTTACAAAACTTTTCTGTCCTTCTGTTTCCATTATATAAACAAGGATAATTTGCTATGGTACCTAGCTTGTACAAAATGAGCTAATATAGATGAAGTACTCAATTCTGTGTGGACTGAAAAACTGTAGTCTGCTGCTAATCTGAATGATACAGTTAACTTCTTTAATAAGCCCTATAATCATAAGCATGGTTCTATAAAGTTTGTGTGGCCATTGCAAAGGATTTTGGACCCAGCAGAGTAGTAAGATTACTGCTGGAATTAGTAGAAGTAGGTGGAGGAGTGTGGAGGACCACGTTTGGCCTTTTAAGAATTCATTTTGTACTGTGGATGTTGTTGATGGGGACAGTTCCCCTTTGAGGAGTTAGTACAAGCCAGACTCTTTCATCCTCATGCTTCCTACAGTCTTTTTTTACTCTGAATGAGATCAGTGATGCAAAACAGGCAGAGGTAACAGTGAGTGAGGTAGGATTTAAGCTCTCTTCTTTTTCTTGGGTCAAAGATCCAGTTACCTTTCTCCCATTGACCTAAAACTAAGGATGTTTTCTTATTTTTGTTTTTTTGGTGGAAGAAGACTTACTCAGCCAAAGACATGCCATTCCAAAAGTTTCCACTTTTTGATTACAATCTTCTTTCATTATATTACATTACTTACTTCTCCCTATTTCTTTCAAAGGTATTCCCTTACCACTGGCATAAATTCATTGCCCTCTAAGCTTCCCATCCAATATTTTGAGTTGCCACTGCCAAGTCCATCTTGGAGAATTCTTTAAAAGGACACAAGCTTAAAGCAGCCATAATTTACAAAATAAGATAGGCTTTTTTTTCCTCAAAGAAAACGTCAGGACATAGTATTGTTTTAAGGTATAAAGTTCAAAGATCAATTATTATCACAGGGCAACAAGTTCAGGGCTTCCTCCGGTCTAGATCTTTGCTTTAGTTGATGGTATTACTGGGACCCAGGCCAAGGTGATTCTATGAGGAGACCTCAGCCTCGGGGTGAACTTGCAGCATCTTTGAAGGCTAGCAACCCTGCACCAATCCATAGACTGTCATCTACAGAGCACATGGCTCTTGGAAAAGCTAAAGCGCACCCAGGTGTCACATATAGAACTAATGATTAAAAAATGCTGCAGAAATGCCTCTGAGCCTGCCTCCTTAGCAAATATCCAATCCATCAAAAATGACAGAGCATAAACTAGTTTTCTTAAATTATAGACTCTCTGTTTGCCTGCACGCCTACAGGAAACTGCTCAGGAAGTCTGATAAGGATTGAATGATTTCAGCACAAATGAAGTGAGTCTTACCTTGAATAGCACAATGGCGTAGTCATATATTAATGCGGGATCCTCTGTTTCCAGCGCGCCCTTGGCGTACCACTCTACGGCTGCTTCGGGGTTCTTGGCCACGCCTTGCTGTCCCCAGAACAGCATCTGGGCCAATCGTTGCTGAAGGAGAACAGCAATGGAGAATCATGATTTTCCTGCATAATGCTTAACACAGACTTTAAAAGGTGGAAGAGCAGCTGGGTATGTTTTTTTATACTGAGAACCAAGATTAAGCTGTCATTGCCATTAAGTTCCGTCAGTCACCTCCTGCTCCTAGTGACCCTATACAACAAACCTCTGCCATCCTCACAAACGTGGCTGTGCCTTCACCACTGTATCAATCCATCTCACTGAGGGTCTGTCCTTCCCTGATGCTTACTTTTCCAAGCAAGCTGTTCCTCTCCAAGGACTGGCCCCTCTGGAAGATATGCCCGGAGAATGTGAGAGAAAGCCTTATCATCTTGTTTCTGAGCTAAGCAAACTTTATCTACTGATACAGAGTGAATGGTGGCCCTACCAATAATATGTGGTTGCCGTTGTTAGGTCCTGTCAAGTCGTAGGCACCTCAGTGACCTTATGAACTAAAGACCTGGACACCTGTATAACTTCCGTCCTTTCTCCAGGTTCATAGGGTTTCCAGAGGCAAGCTATTACAGAAGTGGATGGCACTCCTGCTTCCAAGCTTGTTTTAATTGGGGAGCTCACCAAACACTGTCCACCATGGGTAACCATTCTTGCATTTAACAAATCAGTGTCACAGTGTTAGGCTTCATAGCAACCACGAGTTACCTCTGTACAACAAGTGGATAGACCAGGGTTACATGACCTAGACGAATGTTGCACCAAAAACAATTAAAGGCAGGCCTGAGGGCCGTGGAGTAGAGTCACCCACCTTTGGCTTGGGAGCATGGCTTTCTGTCCACTAGGCCAACTGATCTCTCTCTATGCTATTGTTGTTGTAAGGTACCATTGAGTCGTAGACAACTCATAGTGACCCTGTGAACGAAAAACCTGGACACCAGTATAACTTTTGTCCTTTCTCCAGGATCATAGGGTTTCCAGAGGCAAGCTATTACCAAAGTGGATGGCACTCTTGCTTCCAAGCGATATTCAAGAATATATGAAAACTTTAACCCCTTTGCTTGTAAATAGGATCCTACTTGGTAGAAATAGTTTTCTTCTTTTAAGTCCTTTCCCTTTCTCATCTCTGGCCCTCTGCTTGTTTACAGGCCCAGCACCTATCCCCTATGCTCTCTGCTCTGGTCACCAGGAGCAGTGAGCAAATGTTAAATCCTCTTAGTGGAAACCAGCTTTACAGGCATGCAATCAGCCACAACCGCCTCCCTCCCAGGGCTTGCTGTGGCGAAATCAAATGAGGAAGAAGACAGGGTGTGTGTGCCCTGCCTCCTGCCCTGTGCTCTTGAAAGTCAATCCAGAGGATGAGATGTTGGCAAGATAACGTTGATCCATGTGAGATGACGATACACGTTTCTCAGGTCCTCTTCTCTTAGCGGAATCACAGTCTTCTTCTGGATCACAAGATGTTTCTTTTTATTTCTAACTCGTGCATCAAAATATCTGATAGTAGGAGGGAAAAACCAAACCCACTGCTGTTGGGTCAATTTTGACTCGTAGCAAAAATATAGGACAGTCGAGAGAGCGGGCCATAGGGTTTCCAAGACTATAAATCTTCACATAAGCAGCCGGGCTCATATTTCCAGGGCCGTAAATCTTTACAGAAGAAGCAACCTCAGCTTTCTCTTGAAGAGCTGCTGATGGGTTTGAATCGCTGATCCCGAGATGAGGAGCCATGTAATTTTTTTTTTAAAGAAAACTTTTCATTTTCACTGTGATTTTAATGAACATTTAGAGTTAAGTTAGATTTTTATTCATTCATTGTTGCACATTTCAACCCCTCTCCTTCCCTTCCCTCACTCCAGTTCACTATTTTAAAACTCATTCATTTTTGCAAAATTTACCTTCCTCGCTCCCCCTCCCCCAAGTCCTCTTTGTGATGTACCTCTTATTCTGGGCTGTTGTTGAATGTACAATGGTTTGTTGGTTTTTTTGTTTGTTTGGTGTTTTTTGTTTGGTTTGGTTTTTTTTTTACACATGTACAATTTTAATCATGTATTCCTTTTACGCAGTTCTTTCCTTCATCTGTTCCAATGCATTGGTCATTATTTAGCAGCCATGCATTTTAAGCAGGACTTCTGTGGTCTTTACAGCTTTTCATCAATTCTATGACTTACTTTTCTGAGTACTTGGTAGGACCACAATCCTGGCCCCTCCTGAGATCAAGAGTGCCCATGTGGCCAGTTTTAGCCATGAAATATGAGAGGGACTTGTGCTCCACTTCCAAGAGGAAGCATTAAGAGCCCGTCTGTAAGGAGCCACAACCATCACTCAGCTGCGGTGACCTTGGAGGCCCAGGTTGAGATGTCACCTCTATGAGCATGGGCTCCTGAGGGAGTACACGAGCACAGGCCCTGCCAACTCAGGTTTAATCTGCAGCGTGTGTCAGAGAGGCAGCACTGTGTGGGAAAGAAATAAACCAGTGCTGTTCTAAAGCCCTGAGATTTGAACTATTTTGTTACTACAACATGCTGTCGTTGTTAATTGCTATTGCTAAGCCCTGATTTCTGATGATCTCATTGTTGTGGTATTGTTATGTGCTGTAGGGACAGCGCAGGAGAGGAGAGGTGGATTGATTCAGTGACTGGGGAAATGGGGATAGGCGTGTCGGAGACTGATGACCTCAGACACCACAGGAAAAAAACCAATGCTTTTCCTGAGCCATCTCCATAGCTGGTTGCAAATTTGAAATTTTTAATCCATGGGTCATTTTTACTGGTTGCTTTCCAAAGCAGATCACCAGGCCTTTCTCCCTAATTCAGTTTATCCTAGAAGCTTTCCTGGTATTTGCTCAGTGTCATAACAACATACAAGCCTCTTTGTTGAGTTTCTTTCTGGAAGTTCTATCTTTTCCTCAGAGTGGTGTATTGAGATCTCCAACTACTACGTACTGTTGTCTATTTCTTTTTTCAGTTTTGTTAATGTTTGTTTTATATATTTTGCAGATCTATAATTTGGTGCATAGATATTTACTATTGTTATGTCCACTTGTTCTACTGACCCTTTAAACATTATGTAGCGACCTTCCTTGTCCTTTGTGATGGTTTTCGCATTGAAATTTCTTTTTTTCAGAGATTAATATCGCTACTCCTGCTTTCTTCTTGTTGCCATTTGCTTGGTATATTTTTTCCCACCCTTTTATTTTCAGTCTTGCTTTGTCTTGATTTTTTCAGATGTGTCTCTTGTAGACAGCTTATTGATGGATTTTGTTTTTTATCCAATCTGCTACTCTTTTTCTCTTCAGTGGTGCATATAAGACCAAGCTGGTCTTGTTTTTACAAACTCCCTTAGGTTCTGTTTTTCTGAGAATACCTTGATCTCTCCTTCATATTTGATGGGCAGTTTTGCTGGGTACAATATTCTTGGTTGACAGTTAAGTGGATGTTGCTGTTGTTAGGCACCATTGAGTGGAGGATGATCCAAAGAACACTAGATCTGAACCCTGTCCCGTGCTGTGCCATCCTCACACTCTCTAACACGCTCAAGCCCGTTGCTGCAATCACTCTGTTAATCTAGCTGGTGGAGGGTCTTCCTCTTCTTCACCATCCTTCCACCTCTCCAAGCATGATGTCCTTCTCCAAGAAATACTCTTTCCTAGGAACATGACTAAAGTATGTGAGACAAAGTTTTGTCATCTTTTCCTCCAGGAAACACTCTTCTGCACTTTTTCCAAGACATAGCTGTTTGTTCTTTCAGTAGTCCACAGGATAGTCAGCACTTTTCTCTAACACCGTAGTTCAAAGGCATCAATTTTTCTTCTGTCAAACTTAGTCACTGTCCAGTTCTCAGATGTATAACAAATGACTGAAAAGATCATGGCCAGAATCAGGTATACCTTAGTCCTCAATTAACATCATTGCTCCTCAGTAATCTGGAGAGGTCCCTGATCGCAGATTTTCCCATACAAAATGTTGCTTGATCTCCTGATTGCTGGTACCAAGAGTGCTGACTGTGGATGCAAGTAAGATTAAATCATTGATGGTTTCCATCTATCAGGATGTCACCTATTGGTCTAGTGGTTAGAATTTTTATTTTCTTGATACCTGAGGTGTAATACATACTAAAGGTGACAGTGTTTAACCTTCTGCAACAAGCGTTTCAAGTCCTAACTCTCAGTTGTGTCATCTGCATAATGAAGGTGATTGATGAGTTTTTCTCCCATCCTGATGCCACATTCTTCTCCATATATTCCAGCTTCTTGAAGAATTTGCTCAGCAAACAGACTGAATAGATATGGAGAAAGGGTACAACCCTGATGAACATCTTTCTTAATTTTAAACCATATAGTGTTCCCTTGCTCTGTACAACAGCCTCTTGGTCTAGGTATAGCTTTCACATGAGCATAATTAAGTGTTCTGGGATTCCCATTCTTCTCAATGTCAGCCATAACTTGCTATGATCAAATGTATATATTACAGTCAAAATCTCTGAAAATTAATAAAATATAATTA